TGAATCGTGGGGGAAAATTCTGGACTCCAACCATTCTCAGTGCATGATTTCTTGTGTAAAGCAGGAAGGCTCAAGTTACAATGACAGACAGGAACAGTGTCACGTTGGGAAAGGGGTCCACAGTCAGGCCTTAGACAGTGTAGACCGTAGAGACGCAACACATACAAAGGAAACAACAGACCTCTGCCGTTTTGAAGGTTTTCACTGACTCGCTACAAAATTACCTGCTCTCGGGGAGCTTTCCCACTCCAAACACCTCCTCAGTCAGTGAGTATGGCCACCTGGCCGACGTGGATCCTCTGTCCACCCCACTCCCCCTGTGCATTCACTCGGTGGTTGGGCCTCCCCAGCAACATCTGAATCCCGCGGCCACCGTCCTCATTTACACTGCCGGAGGAGGAGGAGGAGGAAGAGCAGGGCTACTGTCCTCAATGCCAAGAGCTCGAGCAGGAGGTTATTTCACTACAACGAGAACATGAAGAGCTCAGGAGGAAATTGGAGCCTCCCAGTGCCCTGCCAGGCGGTTTTAGATGACTCCAAGACGGTTCTGCAGCACCACAACCAACCCCTGATACCACAGCCAGCTGACCCGCAGACTGAGGGGAGCAAGCCGCTCTTCAACAACTATCCTGTCTACATAACGAGGCTGTAAACTCTTCAGAGAAGGGTGGAAGACGGCTCCTTCGATAGCTCATCAGATTTGTTTTCGCTACTGATGAGCTTAAGTACTCGTGCGGCCTTGGAAAAAGGAAAAGAATTCATTAGGATGCATTGTACCTCCAACCCTGATTGGTGGATGCCCTCCGAGGACCAGATCAACAAAGTGTTCAGCGACACGTGGGCCACGCCCGGCAAGGGCGGGCAGTGGGGACCTTCCTTCACAACCGCGGCTCATTTTATGAAGGGATTGATCACCCAGCTTGGCAGGATGAAGTCTTCAATAAAGGTTCCCAGGATGGATCTGGGGATTACTGGACAAAACTTAACACTGGAGCAGCTGGGCCTCTCAAGAATTCCGGCTGTGAATGTCCTGTTACCATCACCTGAGAGTCCAAAGCGTGTTATTCTGTCCTACTGAAATGGGACAATAAATGCGAGAGAAGGATGGACCCCACTTCAGGTATAATTAGGTAATAGAAATTTATTGATAATTGATACACCTGCAGGTGCACCTGCAGGGAGCTCTTGTGGTGGGCCAACAAGAAGCCTCCTATAGCGGTGGAGAAGTCTTTTTATACCATTATTCTGCATAGTCGTGGTGATTAGCAAGCTAGCGCAGTACAGAAGCCAATCATAGCAGTTAGTACAGCTCAATATGACCCAGGGGTCACAAAGTAGAGGTACATATTGATTTATACATCCTAAGATATGTCACAAGTACATTACTTCATGATCATAAAATGGGGTATGTCATAGGGGTTTACACAATTTAGGGTGGAAGTACATGTTTTCTTAGGGTACATTAGCTCATAGTTCAGGGGTACAAAACAAGTATTGGGTAAATTTCTGAGAACAACTTGGGACCTCTTTACCCAGGGCTTTATTTGGAATCAACCCCTCCCTCAACCCCTCTCTGCATACTTCCTTAATTTCAAGCTATTTCTCTACCCTTGAGAGGGCAGGAACTAAAAGGCTTAGGAGAGGTTTCCTTTTCAAGGGTAGGGGGCTTGTTCCCTACTGGTCTTAGGGAGAGGGTCAAGGGCTGGGGGCCAGGTTATTACACTACTTTATATACATTCTCAGGTGCCATGTTCCCAAATAAAAATCCATTTTATTTTTGGGCTGAAGGGATTGGGTTGTTTGGGAAGTTAGTGGCGCCTATCACAGACTTTGGAATATTATATTATAAAAGGAAAAAACTACATTTGATTTTAAATAATTGCAAGTTATATGGTGAAGGTGAAAAAACAGGAGAGCTCCTGATCACCTGGCTGAAACGCTTAAGCTCTGCTTCCTGGGCAGAGCTGGCCCCCAAGGAGGGTTGGGTTGAGGGCCCCCTGCCCATGGGAAAAGGTAGAGACATGGAGTATTTGAAGGGACAGAAGACAAGCTTTCTCTTACTTTAATTCAAGTAAGTTGTCTTTATGTTTTCCAATAACTTGAATTCATAGTTGTCAGGAGAGACATAGGGTGGATGGTGGGTGACGCCACGTGCTGCCTCTATATTAACAAAGTCTATTATGGAAAGAAACCAGAAAACAGAGGCAACCAGATAGGCAGTAGTTATTGGAGGTCAGCTGTTTTTGTTATTTTTATGAAAAAAAAATTCCACTGTGTTGGTCAGGAAGGCAATATTTGATCTCTGGAGTTTATAGACAGTAATAGTTTTTCACTATATGAGTCCAGAAACATCCAAAGATCCAAAACCATTTTCAAGACCCGCAATTTTGTAGGTTCATAGGTCCACAGTTTCCATGGCCTTAAATTGGGCTTTGTTGACACAATTGCAAAGTGCTGGGCTGGACAAGGAGAATTTCAGTCAGTTGTTTGGAGCTCTGAGGACCAGAACAGTAGTGTGGCTGCCTGAAGGCGTCCCCTGAATTGATCAAACATTCTGGCACCTGTATACACTCGGCTTCAAGGACATTCTGACAATGATGCAATGGGCTTGTCAGGAATTTCTCTGAAATTTGAGGGCCTCTCTGTGCTGAGTTGATTTTTAGAATTTGTATGGAACTTATTTCCCTTTGTTATTGACCGTGTTTCCTCCTGGCTGTGTGTGCCTCCCTTTGCCACAAATTCACCTGAACTACATGTTTCTGGCTAAGTTAACATGGCGCCACACCCACCCACATTCCCCTGTTTAATTGGTTGAGCTGTACATGGGAAATTTGTGGTATCTTTGGAACTTTTCCTTACCCGCAATGTAGAGGTGCTAGAATCATCCTCTCTGCGGGCTTTGGGTTTGCTGTCCGGAGAGGCTTTCTTTACCAAACTAGTCCAGACTGCCACCTTCTTTGTAGAGCAAAGGCTTAAATGGATGGCATTCATTGACAGCTACTAATGTCACCTACAGACATGACTTAAAAGTTTTGAAAATTGGATGGAGATTCATTTCACGTTTATGAGCATCCATTTTAGAGTGGGGGATTTATTTGCCATTTTTTTATTGATATAAAATCATAAATTCTTTACATTTAGTTTTTTTTGTTTGAGACAGAATTTCACTCTGTGGCCCTAGGTAGAGTGCGGTGGTGTCATCATAGCTCCCAGCAACCTCAAACTCCTGGGCTGAAGGGATCTTCCTGTCTCAGTCCACCTGTGTAGCTGGAGCTACAGGCACCCACCACCATGCCCAGATAGTTTTTCTGTTCTTAGTAGACACGTGTTTCCCTCTTGCTCAGGCTGGTCTTGGACTCCTGCCCTGGCTTCTCAGAGTGCTAGGATTACAGGTGTGAGCCATTGTGCCCGGCCTTACATTCAGTATTTAATTAGCTATATGCCAAGTCCTAGAAACCAGTCTTTCTGAAGCTTCTGTTGTGATTATTAGCTTTCATGCATTGAAAAGTTTAATGTTTATGGAGATGGACATTTGCCAGATCTGTTCAACAATATGGGAACAACTTAATATTTCAATTCTGTTCGGGGCAAATTAGCTAAAATTTGAAAGTAAAATGATATGGGCAAATGTGATGTTGCTTGTGGCAACCATGAACATCTTTGGCTCTTCGGGGAAAAAAAGTACTTCTTGAAGCATTGTTAAAGGTCTGTGAAATGAATGTCTTGTACGATTTTTTTGATGACGAGAAATCAATATTGTCAGAAAAAAAAAAAAGAAAGAAAAATTCTATAAGAACATTAATCCCCTGGAGTGCTTATAAAAGGTAACATAAAAGCAGCTACAAGTGAGAAAAGAAATAACCTTTTAGGAACCCCCCTCAAAAAAAATCAAATGCAAGTGGTTTTACCCGATCTGCCTCTTCTTCACACTTGTCACATGTACACAAACACACACACACAGGGCTCAGTTGATTTCAACCACAAGTTTGAAGAGCAATCACAAAGCAAAGAAAATCACTCAATCTTTATTTTACAACATGGGCTCATGGGCCGCAGAAATCAATAGACGGTAAGAGTCCTCCTCCCCTTACTCAGGGGATAGAAACAAGCTTCTAGACCCGTGGGAGACAAGGTTCACATTTTTCTCTCCTGAATGGGTCCTGTTCAAACCAGTAACAAAATGAAGATGCCATGAGGTCAATCACCATTCCAGTTCTAATATTCATTACAGGAAGATTTATCAACACAACTGCTCATGCCTGGAAATCGAAGCATGGGAGTTAATGGGGAGCAAAGTCATCTCTCTAGAAATACTTCTTAAAACTTTTAAAAATCTTCTGAATGAATATTAAAATTGCTCATGTTTTAGGTGATTTATTTTAAGAATACTACAAAAGAACCCCATTAAAAAGTACCCAGAAATCAGCTCAGCACCTATGGCTCAAGAGGCTAAGGCGCCAGCCACATACACCTGAGCTGGTGGGTTCAAATCCAGCCCAGGCCCGCCAAACAACAAAGATGGCTG